GTTTGGCTCCACCTCTTCCTGCAGGAGGGGAGTGCTTCCTTTCTTTTTAATTCTGCCATCAGAGTTCCTACCATATGGACGTGAGTAAGAGACTTGACTCTAAAGGATCCTGATTTAAGTTAACACTTAGCATCAACTCTGAGGTTTTTTACCCTTGGGGCTCATGCTTTATGTCCAGATCATCCTGGACAACATTGAGGAGACCCAAGTGCCTTCAAACCGGTTCTTTTGGCACCAAAGGAAGATCCCGAGTCTTCAAAACATAGGCCATCTGAACTGGGGTTGTGGTTTGCTCCGGCATTCACAGCCATTGAGGAAAGAGGAAACTTGGTGAGGCTTCTCAGCTTCAAACCCCTTGGACCCAGGACTAATTAAGACTGTAACGTATATTTTCCTTCACCCCTCTGAAGTTTTCCAGCTCATTGCTTTAAAGAAATGACTTTGTGATAAATAAATCTTATTTTGAGTTATTTACAGTGTTTTGGGTTTTTGGGAGTTCCAGTTTCCTATAGGAGGGCAAGAAGCAATCCCCTGGGGGAAAGATGCCACGTCCATCCCTCCTTTATTTAGAATAATAGCCCCCAGGCGCGACGGCACAGTGATGTCTCTGCTCTTCACTATTTTATCAAGATTGGTAATTGCTCTCCTCCCAAGAAGTAAATGTCTTCTGATTTCCTAGCTACAGTCTTTCTGAGTACCCTTAGAAAGACAGTAAATACTAGCACAAGGAGCTGTCTTATATTGAGTCAGAACTTGGCTGGGGGATTCTGCAAATAATAGTCTAAAAAATAGGAATAATCTGTGAGTCAGATCTTTGGTCTGCTGAGGATGGTTCAACCTACATAAATCCTCAATAGGTCTACAAGGTTTCAAACAGAGGTCTTTTCTGCCCATGTTACTGGAGATCCTTTGAACTCAAGGATTCAGACAAGCAATGCCTCTTTCCCATTATATTCTGATCCAATGTGAGAATCTTGAGATGGAAATAAATGCAACCAGCCATGGTGAGATGATAAATGATAAAAGTCTATTTTCTCTGATTCTGTTCTAGGTATATAATGCTTTGCTTGATCTTTATGTTGTACAGCAAGAATCGTGCTTGTCTGGCCTAAATCTTATATAATAACACAAATTATTTTATGGTGTACACCTTTCTAGATGATTGATAGACTTGAGTATCTCCTATTCATTTCTAAAGACTTTTTCCTAGATGTGCTGCCCTGAATCATGAACTAGAATGATTGAAGAGAACAGTTACCTGTCCTCCTGCATATATTAATTAACTTGTCTTGATCCATAGCTCAATGATAGACCACATGTTTTACATATAAAATGTCCTTCATTCAACCCTGTCATCTTCAGATGGGGATGGGAATTAATTTTTTGGAAAACCACAGCTAGTTAGTGTAGATTAAGACGGAAATCCATGGAATATGGAGGAACTTCATTAATGCTTCGCCTCTAGTGACTGTGGAGGACTAGACCTCTGCTGCTTCTCTATGAAAGATAACCTCAGGGGACTGTGGGTGTCTTCAAGCTCCCTTGGATTATTTTAAAACCAGGTGAGAACTTTTAAAACAACAGGAGATAAATGCCTGCTAGATAAAGATAACATTTCATACATTAGGAGAAATACTTGATCAAAGTGTATTGTTGAAAGCTTTCATGGCAGGAATCGTTTGGGCTGTTCTGAGTTTCCCAGGCTGTATGGCCATGTTCCTAAAACATTCTCTCCTGATGTTTCACCTGCATCAGTGGCAAGTATCCTCAGAGGTTGTGAGGTCTGTTGGAAACTAGGAAAATGGGGTTTATACTGTATATCTATGGAATGTCCAGTGTGGGAGAAAGAACTCCTGTCTGTTGGAATTAGGTGTGAATGTTTCAATTGATTAGCATTTAATGGCCAAGCAGTTTCAAGGTCTGGCTTCTTACTGCCTGGGGGAATCCCTTGTTGTCTGGGACCACCAAACGCAGTACCCAAACACGAATCAAGGAACATGAAAGGAACTGACTACCAGAGAAGTCAGTCATAGCAGAGCATTTGATGAACAAACCTGGACACAAAAATGCTGGAGCACTCTAACAACCACCATGTCAGGCTACACAGAGAAACCATTGAAATCCACAAGCATGTGGATAATTTCAGAAGAAAGGCAGAAACCATGAATATTGTGTCCAATTCTGGGCACCACAATTGAAGAGAGATATTGACAAGCTGGAATGTGTCCAGAGGAGGGTGACTAAAATGATCAAGGGTCTGGAGAACAAGCCCTATGAGGAGCGGCTTAAGGAGCTGGGCATGTTTAGCCTGAAGAAGAGAAGGCTGAGAGGAGATATGATAACCGTGTATAAATATGTGAAAGGAAGCCACAGGGAGGAGGGAGCAAGCTTGTTTTCTGCTTCCCTGGAGACTAGGACCCGAAACAATGGCTTCAAACTACAAGAGAGGAGATTCCATCTGAACACGAGGAAGAACTTCCTGACTGCGAGAGCCATTCAGCAGTGGAACTCTCTGCCCCGGAGTGTGGTGCAGGCTCCTTCTTTGGAAGCTTTTAAACAGAGGCTGGATGGCCATCTGTCAGGGGTGATTTGAATGCAATTTTCTTGCTTCTTGGCAGGGAGTTGGACTGGATGGCCCATGAGGTCTCTTCCAATTCTACGATTCTATGATTCTATGATTCTATGAAAATGAATAAAATCTGGCTACCAGTATTTTAAAAAAACTTTTTAAAAACTCTAAAAAAAAAACTTTACAAAAACCTCTAAAATCATAACAGTAAATAAAAACAACACTCAAATACAGGGGAATTCCAGACAAGAAACGATCAGGGCCAGCTAATCACCTCCCAACTAAGTAATCCCTTAGGCAGTAAGAAGCCAGACCTTGAAACTGCTGGGCCATTAAATGCTAATCAAAGTGACCAATTGAAACATTCACACCTCCCTCAAACAGACAAGAGTTCTTTCTCCCACCCTGGACATTCCACATATATATAACCCCCCTTTTCTTAGTTTCCAACAGACCTCACAACCTCTGAGGATGCCTGCCACAGATGTAAGCGAAACGTCAGGAGAGAATGCTTCTGGAACATAGCCATACAGCTCAGAAAACTCACAACAACCCACTACATAATGAAAGCTTATGCCTTTATAAATGTGTTAGTGTTTAAGGTTCTGTGGGGCTCTTGGTTTCTTTTTAAACATCATGGCATTTTAAAATCATATGGCTGGTTGCCGTAGTAGGCATGTTCCTAGAAATGGACACTTCTGCAGAATAATCCATTCTATCTTTTTCTCTGTGCAGTAATGTGTGTGAATACAATCATAGTTATTTTGTTGAAGTGCCGCTGCCAGAATCTCCTAGCCAGAGTGGCCTCAGGCAGCAGTCCAACACTTTTCTAAAGCCTGAGAACCATTGCGTAAATCATACAAGAACAACTATTACAAGTTACTGTGAACTTCTCCTGTGAGACCTTATCTATTAAACATAACATAGATTCGAAGACATAAACACAGGAGTAGCTGGTGAATCTATTACCATGGGAGGAATGAATTCACTTTGGGTTATATTGTTGGGGATGTGAGAATATGAAGTCATAAAGCGGGTTGTTAGAGCTTGGAAAAATCCATGGTTGCTGATGCTTTAGTTGGCTAGTGTTAAAAATCTAAAATAGAGTTTGCTTGTAGCTAGAAACTTTGGGCCTTGTAACATTTCACCTAAATACAGATATAAAGTTTGTTGCTGAGCTTTAAAAATATATACCTAAAAACGCAGACTGTGAGACCATACAGGAAAAAATCTATCTTTGACAAAGGAAGAAAGATCAATACATGGAACAGGGCGTTAGATGTAGGGAACAAAAAAATCAGACTAGCTTACCTTTTTTAACTAATGTTTAGGTGTAATTTTATTACTACTGTTGTTGACATCTAACGGGTGCTGGTTGTGAGCCACCCTGAGTCTCCTCTCGGGGATGAGAAGGACGGGATATCGATGTCCAGGGAAGTCATGCTACCCCGGTATTCTGCCTTGGTTAATCTAATTCTGCGTCCAATTCTGGGCATCACAATTGAAGACAGATGTTGACAAGCTGGAATGTGTCCAGAGGAGGGCAATTAAAATGATCAAGGGTCTAGAGAACAAGCCCTATGAGGAGCGGCTTAAAGAGCTGGGCATGTTTAACCTGAAGAAGAGAAGGTTGAGAGGAGACATAGAATCATAGAATCAAAGAGTTGGAAGAGACCTCATGGATCATCCAGTCCAACCCTCTGCCAAGAAGCAGGAATGTTGCATTCAAATCACCCCTGACAGATTGCCATCCAGCCTCTGTTTAAAAGCTTACAAAGAAGGAGCCATGTGTACATGATAGCCATGTTTAAATATGTGAGAGGAAGTCATAGGGAGGAGGGAGCAAGCTTGTTTTCTGCTGCCCTGGAGACAAGGGCATGGAACAATGGCATCAAACTACAAGAAAGGAGATTCCATCTGAACATTAGAAAGAACTTCTTGACTGTGAGAGCTGTTCAGCAGTGGAACTCTCTGCCCAGGAGTGTGGTGGAGGCTCCTTCTTTGGAGGCTTTTAAAAAGAGGCTGGATGGCCATCTGTCAGGGGTACTTTGAATGCAAATTTCCTGCTTCTTGGCAAGGGGTTGGACTGGATGGCCCATGAGGTCTCTTCCAACTCTATGATTCTATGTCTGAAATAAATAAATAAATAAATAAATAAATAAATAAATAAATAAATAATATTTGAAAATAATTTTGGCAGAATGTACATCAAGTGTCACAAATGCATGTCCAAACAGTTAATGTGAATTTGGAAAAATGCTGAGATCATATTGAGATGGTCTTGAGGAAATTGTATAAAACTACTATTTTTCAATGCCAATTTGCCACTCTCTTATAGCATAGATGAATTGAAGGGGAAACTGTGTTTGCAGTAAAGCGTTGCCTCTGCCTGAGTCTTCATTGCATCCTGTGTCCCATTAATGTCTTCTAGGATGCAGATCTTGAGAAAATATTGGGACCCTGGTTTTCTTCTGGAACAAAAATAGGTATTTGTGGATTTTTTTTCTTCCATTTTCCTGTTTTTATTTCCTTAAAATGTGGTGACTCCTGCAGCCTGATTTGTAGAGACACTACCCTAGTGCCAAACCTCTGTTAGAAATAGGTCCAATAACAGGATGGATCTCCTGCAGGCTGAATCCACTGTAAGGAAAGCCCCCATTCTACTGAGAGTAGACACCTGCCTTTAGGGGACCATTATTTGCTTCTGTACCAAACAAAACTTTCAAATGTGTCTGCTGCCTATTTTATTGAGGCATATTAGTAGATCAACTTCATTTTAGAGCCCTAATGTCTAGTGGGGCTTGAAGGAGATGTCTTGGTATGGATTATATTTGTTATTCTCCATCGTACTTTAGATTTATAGGGTTCACTAGAGCTCTACTAGAAATACGAATGTTGTTTCAAATTCATACATCTATATAAATAAAAATGTAATGTTCATTTGTGGGATTAACATAACTCAAAAGCCACTGGACAAATTGACACCAAATTTAGACACAATGCACCTATCAGGTGAATGAGTGACCATGACTCATAAAAATACTGAAAAATACAGCAGAAGAGACTTTAAAAGCCAATAAATAAATAAATACTTCACATACGCAAAACCACACACATATATATGCAAACACACATATATATGCACATATACACACACACACACACACACACACATATATATACACACACAAAATACATATACACAGACTGGGCCACAGCAATGCATGGCAAGGGAAGGCTAGTCTATATACTGTATATACTCGAGTATAAGCCTAGTTTTTCAGTCCTTTTTTTAGGCTGAAAATGTCTACCCCAGCATATACTTGTGTCAATGTTATTTATTATTTTACTTTGTTGTTGTTGTTATTATTATTAATTATTACATTTATTATTTTAATATTGTTATTATTACAATTAATATTTTACTCTATTTATTATTGTTATTGTTACATTTATTATTTTACTCTGTTATTATTTTACTCTATTATTATTGGAGGACATGTAAGCATATTTACATTGAAGAAAGTTAGAATAATGGTTTAATCAGAGTTGGACAGTCTTATCCTGAATTACAGTTTTATGTAAATATTCAAAAATATTTAACCTACTGATGCCTAAATTAATATAATTTTATTGGTATCTATTTTTATTTTGAAATTTATCAGTAGCTGCTGCATTTCCCACCCTTGGCATATATTCTAGTCAATCCATTTTCCCAGTATTTTGTGGTAAAATTAGGTGCCTCGGCTTATATTCGGGTCGGCTTATACTCGAGTATATATGGTAAATAAAAATGTAATGTTCATTTGTGGGATTAACATAACTCAAAAATCACTGGACAAATTTACACCAAATTTGGACTCAATACACCTATGAGGCCAACAAGTGACCATCACTCATAAAAACACTGGAAAACACAGCGGAAGAGACTTTAAAAGCCAAAAGAAATACATTACAACGTATGTGCAAAACCACATATATACACATATACACAAATATATATACACATACATACATATATATATACACAAAACACAAATACACAGATTGGGCCACAGCAACAGATGGTAGGAGACACCCAACTATCAACACCAGACTGTATCCGTAGAAGATTTTTTTTACCTTTCATGCTAGGAGCTACTTGAGAAACTACAAGTAGCTTCTGATGTGAGAGAATTGGCCATCTGCAAGGACATGGCCCAGGGAATGGCCGGATGTTTTGATGTTTTACCATCCTTGTGGGAGGCTTCTCTCATGTCCGTCCCATGGGGAGCCGGAGCTGACAGAGGTAGCTCATCCTCGCTCTCCCCGGATTCGAACCTGAGAACCTATTGGTCTTCAGTCCTGCCAGCATAAGGGTTTAACCCGTTGCACAACTAGGGGCTCCTAGCAGGAGATTACAAGGTAACCATAGGCTTTGCAGGAGAGTGGGCTGGTGAATGAACTAGGTACAGTTGCATCCCCTTTAGTGACCACAACATCTGATCACTGAACATAGAACAATTGTGTTTGTGTCATGTCAGGAGAAAATGATTTCTTGAAATAGTGTCACTGATATTTCGATGGGTTGAGAAATAATGCAATTTGCAGCAAACAACATTATGAAAAATCTCATTCATAAACTTATTCAGCATGATTATTGCTATGGCTGATACCTACACTTTCACTCCAAATGAATTTTATCCGACTAAGGCCCCTTCTACACTGCCATATAATCCAGATTATCAAACCAGATAATCCAAATTATCTGCTTTGAACTGGATTATCCGAGTCTACACTGCCATATAATCCAGTTCAAAGCAGATAATCTGAATTTTATATGGTCTAAATATCACTCTCAGTTCCCACTGCATTATGTTCTACCACAGATTGTTAAATTCTCCATATAACAGAGTGATGCTTCCTTAAGTATCATATATGATTGTATTTTAATGTATTTTATGTATTAGTGCATTATGTGATGTGATATTTTAAACTATTGTTTATGAATCTTTTGTTGTGAACTGGCCTGAGTCCCTCTGCGGAGGTTGAGAAGACCGGTATATAAAAGTTCTAAATAAATAAATAAATAAATAAATCTCCTCTCACTATGAACAGTCCATTAATGCAAATATAATTTAAGCCAATTTCTGGTTGTCAGTGAACCTACTGCTGTTTCCCATTTACAATTTGAAAGTTAAGTTGTTGCATTTGGATACATTTCTTCCATTTAACAAGATAACCTGCCAGGCTATGGTGACAGAGGTTAATGGTGCCATTATTAGTTATTAACATAGTGCTGGACATATGTGCTAATCAGTGGTGGCTCTTAGACTGACGATTATTCCCCATAAAAAATTCTTTACGCATTAGGTTCAAGCATGTCAACAACATTCCCTTGGCTATAGGTAATTCATTATCAATAAAAATGCATTTTCCTCCCAGATCTTAATTTGCTGAAATGTTGCTCCGAAAAGTGTGAGTGCTTTTTCAAATAACCTTTCCTATGATATGTTCAGCATATATCATGTATTTCTGTGTGTTGCCTACTTTCCAAGTGATGAGAAGCAGCGTTCACCAACTTGTATGTGAGCAATCCTTTCACCTGAGACAACAGGAAGAAAGAGAAATTTAAACATAGGCCAACACTCCTTTTTCTACCGACATAAGTAAATAAGTCCTTTTTATTGTTTTTAATGTTCCTGGCAAGGCTGAGCTCATTTTGCACTTTAGCCTTGTGAACCTTTTCCCTACAGAAGTTGGTTATTCCTTTGAATTCTTCTTTGGTGATTTCTCCCCTTTTTCACTTCTTGTACTTATCTGTTTTGAGCCTTAGCCCAGTTAGAAGTCCTTTGGCCATCCATTCTGGCTTCTTTACACTTGTCTTATTTTTTCTCTTTGTTGGCACTCTGTGCAATTGAGCCTTGAGTATTTCACTCTTGAAAAACTCCCATCTATCCTTAATTCACTTGTCTTTTAGTGTCCACGGAACACCACTCAGTATATCCTTCATTTTTCTGAAGTCAGCTCTCCTAAAGACCAGAATGTGGGTTTGACTTGTCTTAGTTTTGGCCTTCCTTTGTATCGCAAAATGCAGGGGCACATGTTCACTTGCCCCTAAGGATACAACTACTTCGGCTGCATTTATCAGGTCCTCCACGTTTGTTAGGATGAGATCGAGAGTAGCTAATACCCTTGTTGCCTCTGTAAATAACCTGTGGTTAACATCTGTTTTCTAAATTTATTTTCTATATTTATATCCCGCCCTTCTCACACACACACCCCCGGAAAAGGGGGGGGGGGGGGCTTTAAATGTTTAACTTCTATATAAATAAAAATGTAATGTTTGTTTGTGATACCATCAGAACTCAAAAACCACTGGGGGAATTGACACCAAATTTGGACACAAGACACCTAACAACCCAATGTATTTCCTCTACTCAAAAAAAATTGATTTTGTCATTTGGGAATTGTCGTGCTGGGATTTATAGTTTACCTACAATCAAAGAGCATTCTAAACTCCACCAATGATGGAATTGGGCCAAACTTAGCACACAGGGCTCCCATGACCAACAGAAAAAACTGGAAGGGTTTGGTGGACATTGACCTTGAGTTTGGGAATTGTAGTTCACCCACATCCAGAGAGCACTGTGGACTCAAACGATGGATCTGGACCAAACTTGGCATGAATATTCCATATGCCCAAATATGAACACGGATAGAGTTTAAGGGAAATAGACCTTGACATTTGGGAGTTGTAGTTGCTGGGATTTATAGTTCACCTACAATCAAAGAGCATTCTGAACTCCACCAATGATGGAATTGAAGCAAACATGGCATACAGGACTTCCATGACCAACAGAACACACTGGAAGGGTTTGGTGGGCATTGACCTTGAGTTTGGGAGTTGTAGTTCACCTACATCCAGAGAGCACTGTGGACTCAAACAATGATGGATCTGGACCAAACTTGGCACGAATATTCCATATGCCCAAATATGAACACATGGAGTTTGGGAAATAGACCTTGACATTTGGGATTTGTAGTTACTGGGATTTATAGTTCACCTACAATCAAAGAGCATTCTGAAACCCACAATGACAGAAATGGGGCAAATTTCCCACACAGAACCCCCATGACCAACAGAAAATACTTAAGGACATCCACTCCAACTCTCTTCACCAGGGAAAGAAAATGTAATCAGAGCCCTCCTGACAAAAAGCCATCCAGTCATAAATATAGATAGATATGATTCTCTCACACACAGATATAGTATCATAGATTTGAAAGAGACCCTTAAAGAAGGACTATGATATGTTGCATATTCCAGAGTAGGCAAACCAGACACTCTCCACATCAACACTGACAAAGAAACAACAAGAAATACTGTTTACTCACAAGCATAAAGGAATTATATATATTAGAAACCAACACTTTCTCATTACTTTATTTTCCAGATCACCAGACTGCGCCACAGCAACGCGTGGCAGGGGACAGCTAGTTTTTT